GGGGTAGGCCATGCCCAAAATGCCGTCGAACTTGGCCGCGATGAAGGTGATGCCGGGCTGCTGGGTGGCCTCCCCAAAGACCTGCCGCACCACCTTGACGCCACGCGTGGAGTTGGCTGGATTGCAGGGCACCTGCGGGCCGGGGCGGGGTCAGCGGCCTGGGGGTCTCGGCCCCCAAACCCAGGCCCATTGACGCCCTGGTCTCACACGCGGCCGGGCAGACGGACCCAGGAAGGGGCTAGAAAAGCCAAGCCAGGGACAAGCTGGGACAAGGAGGGAGCAGGGTGGGTGGCGCCCTCACAGCAGGGGTTGCCGGGGCTTTGTCTTAAACGAGAGGCGGGAACCAAGAGGGAGACCCCGGGCAGCCTCCATGAGGCTCTGACCCCGTGCCCCAGGCCAGGCCGGGCTGGCTCCTGCCTTCAGGCTCGGGGACAAGGCTGGACCTGGCCCAGGGGCCTGAGGGACTGGGGCTGCTGACCCCACTTCCACCATGGCCGACTCTCGGCCTCCCGGGCAGCCCGCCCCTCCCCCACGGCCCCTCCCTCAACCTGCGCGAGAGGAGGCTGAGATGGAGGCCGAGATACGGCAGCCACGGGGCAGGATGTGGGGCAGAACGGTCACCACAGCGGGGAAACACCCTGTCGGGGCCAGCACCACCCGGAAGACAGAACCCTGGGGGCCCTGGGCTCCAGCCTGGCAGGGAGTGTCGAGCGGGCCCAATTGGGTCACCCCCAGAAGCCCAGGACCCACCCCAAGCAGACGGGCCCACCCTTGGCCCCTGGGGCCACATCCCAAGCAGAAGACTCAGGCCAGGGATGCACCGTACTGGCCCAAGACTCCCCCCGCAGGCAGGCAGGGCCCCACAGCCAGCCCGCCTCACCCTCGGGCTCCTCGGTGGGGGACTTCTGGCAGCCCCAGACCATGTTCCCGGCACACTCCCCCCCAGCCGCCCCACTCCTGGGCCAGCTGCAGGGACCCCGTCCGATCCCAAGCCTGGCCCTGAACACATGTCACGGCAGAGCCCACACGCCCAAAGCCTCCCTGCCAGCTTCCTCCCCAGCTGCCTAGGCCTGGGGGCGGCCTAAGGGTCTCCCCCCAGTGCCTGGTGGTGGACCCGCCTGGCACCCAGCACCCGTGCCCTGGGAGGGTGCAGGCCCAAGACCCGGGGCCGGCTGCGGCTCTGTCCGGAATCTGGGGACTCCTGGCCCTGTCTGTCCTGCTCCCACTGCATTCCCCACCAGGCCCTCCATGCCTCCCAGCCTGTCTCAGGCTGTGCCCCGGTGGCACACCCCCTCACAAAGTCACTGCCACAGTCTGCCTGGCTCAGCGTCCCGTCCCAAGAGCTGGGGATGGGGAGGGCAGTCGGCCAGACAGACTACATGCACAAAGGGTGCACCCCTACCCTGGCGAGCACTGATCCCTGCAGCCAGGACCGTCCAGGCTCCGAGACAGGCCCCGAGGGACTCACCGACACAGTGTCCTGGCTCAGGTACCCGGAGAGGCTGCCCGAGCCGTAGTGGATGCTGAACTTCGTGCCGTTCACCACATAGGTGACAGACTTGCCGCTGTTGTATTTGTGGTGGAGCCCTGCCCGGGGAAGGGGCCGTCAGACCCCACCTCGGACTTCCCTGCCTCTCCCGCAGGCCACCCCGAGCTGGCACCCCAGGGGGGCTGGGCTGTGACCTGGGCCACGTCACCCAGCCCCCCTCTCAGCCTGGGGGGCGGTCCAGTCCCCGCCTCGCCACGTCTTGGCCGCCACAGTCCCCGGGAGAGCAGGGCTGCGGCTGGCATGCACAGGGTCACCTACCCCGCGGGCGCCGGGGCAGGGTGGAGGGCCGACCCGCCCTGCACAGCAGGAGAGCGTTCCAAGGCTCAGCCCACCCCAGGGCCCAGGCCTGCCCCGTCTCCCCAGCCCCAGCGGCACCCCAGGCGGGCCAGACCCGGAGGCCTGACTCACAGCAGGCGATGTCCAGCAGCTTGCAGTGGATCGAGGGCACCCAGAGGTTGGAAGAGCCGGTGTCGAAGACCACCGTGAAGCACTGGGGTGGCGTCCCGATGCCAATCTCCCCATAGTACTGGGCCTGGGCAGGGCGGGTCCGTCAGCGCCGGGGGAGGGATGGCCTGGCTCACCACTGGACCCGAGGTGGCCCCTGCCGTCCCGGAGCCCCAGCTGGAGGGGGACCCCGGGGTCCAGATCCCCAACCCCGGTGTGCACGCCCACCTGCCCAGCCTGCCGTCAATCTGGTAGAGAGGCCAGGCTGTTCCCCAGCCCACACCCACAGACACCAGGGGTCTCCAGACCCCTCGGTCCAGCCATGTGGAGAGGGTGGGGAAGGACTTCCCATGGAAAGACAAGACAGTGTCCAGGCTGCGTGGGGACAGGCGTGGCCCTCAGGTGAGCCCTGGGCACGGGAGAGGCCTGCCTGGGAGACCCCCTGCTGTCGCAGGGTCCACGACCGCCTCCTTGGTTGGCGCCATGTCAGGGCCTGACTCTGGGGACCTCATTCCCTGCTCTGTCCCACAGGGCCAACCCTGGAGGGCTCCCAGGCAGAGGGATCTGACTGGCCAAGGGGAAAAGGGAAGCTTCGGGGATGTAGAATTACTGCCTAACAACCCTGCCTTAACTGCCCTGAGCCTCTCGGTTTCCCTTTCTGTACACAGGGAGAGCAGAGGCAGTTGAGGGTGCTGACTGAGGGAATGGGCGAGAGGGGTCACGTGCCCCTGAGCCTCGGAGGGCAGAGGGTATAGGGGTCACGGAGTCCGGGGTCACCTGGGTGGGCCCCACCTGCCTGGGCACCGCCACCCCCGGGAGGGAGCCTCGGTCACTGTCGGCCGCAGAATTCCTGGCTCCCATCACACCCAGCACCTCTCCAGCAACTTGGTTCCAGGGAGCGGCCCCGCAGAGGTGCCCAGACCGGGGTGGGGTTGGGGGGTGACTCAGCAAATCTGTGTGTGTGTGTGCCCGCGTGTGCGTGTGTCTGCGTGTGCTGGGGCAATCAGGAACTGGCCAGCCGGGCCCTAGGCAGACAGGCCCATCTCCCCCCCAGTCCCGTCACATGCCTGTGAGCCTCGGGCTTCCGGCCACAGCAGGGCTCAGGCCAAGAGGGACAGAGGGCAAGGCCACCAACCCCCACGGGCGAGCCCTGAGCTGGACAGCCGGGAGGGGCTTCTTGGGGCTCCGGGATGGAGGCTCCAGGACTCGGCCCAGAACCCGTCCCCACAGAGCCGAGGCTCCAGCTTGCTAAGTGGCTTCCATAATGCTCTACCCCGAAGTCTGTTTCCCTCTAGGGAGTAGCGGGCATGGCAGGGCTGCTGCCCGAGAAGATGGTGAGAGGCCAGGACTGGGCCACGAGTCACCTGGGCCTCCGTCGGGACAGGAAGGAGGGGAGACAGAGGCTCCAGGGCCAGCAGCCACACCCGGGTGGGCCCAGGAACCCACACAAGGACCTCAGGGCCCCTACCCTGCAGCCTCTCCAGGGCAGGCTCAAGACACGTGGGGCGATGGTACCATGGCACCAAGACCACCCCGCCACCCTCTTGGCCCAGGGCAGCACCAAGGCCCTGTGTGGACAGGGATGCAAGAGGGACAGCGGAGGACCCCAGCCTGCGGGGTGCCGGGCGGGCAGGTGTGTCTGAGCCCAGACCCTGCCCCCCACTGGACGGGCGGGACCCTCGGGAGCCCTGAGAAGAAGCCGGGAGCAATTCCCGCACACACGTGTGTCCTCGCGGCCGGCCGGTTCGTCCCCAGCACCCACACTCACGTCCATGTAGTTCTTAAGCATCTCAGGGACGGGAGTCCCAGTCTTGGCGGGCATCTCCTGGGAGTACTTGGAGAGAGGGCCCTTGGCGATCAGGTCCTCCACGGGGCCCCCCAGCTCTGACAGGGTTCGGCGGATGGACGTGAACTTGTACAGCGGGATTCTGTCAACAGGGGTTGGGGGGTGTCACGGTGGGGATCCGGGTGCTCGCATCACTCCGGGGACACCCCTGGAAGGACAGCCCACCGTGGACCACCAGGTGCCCCCAACAGCCACGGGCACTGCATGTCCACCGGGTTGCTCCGAACACAGCCAGAAGCAAACTCCTGCCTCTCACCTGACACTGACGGGCCCAGCTTCCCCACGTCTGCCAGCCACAACCCATCAGCACCCGCTCGGGCCACAGTCCCGGGGGGCCCCGGTCACCCGTCACCACGCCCCCCCAACCCCACACACCCACACGGGGCCAGTGTGCCCGCCCCTCCCATCCTCGGTTATTCCAGAGGCTCCGAAAGGCCCCACGGGTCCAAGCCCTTCCTTGGTGCCTGCCGAGGAGGTCTCTTTGGGGACCGCAGTCAGCAGGTCCACTGAGGGTGTTGGCGGACACCTGCCACCCCTGCCCTAAGCACTCCGAGGTGGCCCAGCATACCTGGTCCTCGGCCACACCTGCTCCCCACCTGTACCCCACACCATGGCAGCGCATCTCCAGGCCAGCAATGGCAGTTCTGTCTTCCTCCTGGCCATCAGATGGGCCTTCCATGCCACCCCCAGGAAGCCCTCCTTGACCTGTCACCCTCCCCAGGACCCTGTCCATGCCCTCACCCCACTTGGCATCACTGTCAGTGGGTTCCTCCCTCCTCGCCCCTTGAGGGAATCAGGAGGGCGAGGTCTGCCCCCGGGGCCCCAAGGCTTCTGTATGTCCTCCAAATGTGCTCCCTTGCACCCCCCAGGAGCACCCAGCCTGCGGTGGCCTTAGGGCCTGCCTTGTGCAGGGGGTCTGACACCACGCCGGCGTATCCTGAGTATGGCAATGGAGCGCACAGCAGAGGGCGGCATCCGTGCCCGCCCACCCCCACGGGCCAGCAGCCTCCTCCTTCCTCTGCCTTCCCCAAGGGTGCCCACTCAAGACACACAAGAGGAGGGCACTGAGGAGAGCTCGCCCGAACCTCTACCACTTGGACGACGCCTCTTCTCTGCCCCGGGGACCTGGGAGTGAAGGTCACAGCTGGCTTTTCCGGGCATGCCAAGGGCGTGCTCCTGGAAGATGGGTTCTTGCCTAAGAGGTGGGCTGGGAAAGCCTGGATCCTGGATGAGGGCGAGGGAATGCCCTCCTGGCCCAGGGAGGCAGGTACCCTACGTGGGACCGGGGGTCCCCAGGGAGCCCAAAGCTCCCTTCCCCCGCTGCATCTGCCCTCCCAGGAGAGGGGGTCCCACAGGAGGGGCAGGCGAAGCTGGGGCAGGCT